CCAAAGGCTGAGATTTGGCTGAGGGGGCCAAGAGCTGCTCCTGTTCTGTGTTCCCGACAGGACAGGGATCACCCCAACCCCCCCCAGAATCCTCCATCCTGCTCCATTCCCCGCTCTGGGAATACTCACAAAGCTGATCTCTGTCTCCTGCAGCTCTTGGAGCTGCTCTCTCAGCTCCAGGGAGCGCTCGGGGCCGGAGGGGCCGGGGGAGCCGCTGGGGAAACAGAAGGGGGACACCTGAAAAAGCAGGTTTTTTTAAAGAGGTCAATAAAAAACCCCCCCAAGAGCCAGGGGGCCTGGAATTCCCAGCCACAGGAATATTCCTGAGTCCAAACCAAACAAGCAGGGGGAGGAGCAGGTGGTTTTCCAGGTGCACTGCCAGGAGCTTTGGTCACACCTTCAACCCTCACCACGCACGTTCTGGGCGCTGAACAGGCACAAACTCCTCCCTTCCGGGCCAAACCAACCCCCCAGATAATTAATTCCATGGTTAATTATTCATTCATCGGGCTAAAAGCTCAGGAGGAAGCAGGAGCCACCCAGCAGAGGCAGCGAGAACCCCACAGGGGAGCTCAGGGCTGTGGGGTGGGAACTGGGGGATGTTCCCACTCGGAACCCACCCCACACACAAAACCCCCACGGAACATTCCAGAGCGGCTCCAAGGGCTCGGGAAGGGCCCAGGGTGGGGGAGAGCTCCATCCTCACCTGTTGGCAGGTGAATTGAGGCCCCCACTGCCCAGGGAGGAGGTGGACAGGGTGGTGGCCACCGAGTCGCTGTTGGCTTCGTCCACGGGCAGAGTCCTGGGCAGGAGGTCCGGGCGGCCCAGGTGGGACCCTGAAGGAGGGGCAGGGGCTGTTCCAGCAGAATTCCAGGGATTGGGATCCCACTGGAGACTCCCCAGGAACCTGGAGAACCCCCCTGCCATGTTCCTGTTCCTGTCCCACCCCAGCCAGGGCTTGGCATCCCACTGGAGACACCCCCAAAACCCAAAGCACAGGAGGTTTCTTTCCCCCTCTTTTCCCAGCCCAGTGGGATAAAAAACTGGAAAACAGGGATTTTCTTTTTTTTTCTTTTTTTTTTTCCCCAACTAACCTTGCTCCACATCTGCCTCTGTGGTCACTTGTGCTTTGGTCTCAGAGCCCACGTGGAGCTGGGCAGGGATCCCCCCCTGGCAGCTCCGTCTGGGAATTGCCGGCCCGCTCCGGCTCTTCTTGGAAGGGGAAGGTTTCACTGGGAAAAAAATAAATAAAATAAAAAAAATAAACCACTTTTAGAGCTTCTTCAGGCACTAAAAGGGCTTTGGAGGGACAGAGGAATAAGAGGTGTGCTGGAAAAAACAGGGATGAAACAGCTCCTGGGAAGTCATAGGAGACAAAGAAGGATCCAGGAGGAAGGAGAAGGTGACAAAGCGCTCCCAAAAATCCCTGCCAGGGGAAAAGCTGGAGGCAGGAAGCTCCAAGTCAGATAAAAAGCTGCAAAACAGGGAGATTTCCCTATTTTTTTTTATTTATTTATTTTTTTTTATCCCCAAGGCAGGAAGCCCCAGTTGGACAAAAAGCTGGATAGGTGTTGTTTTTTTTTGTAATCCTAATTTTTAAATCCAGCTCAGGAGGGCAGAAACTCCAACTGGGTAAAAAAACTGGAAAACTAGGGGGGGTTTAAATATATTTTTTTTTTTAGTTTTCAGGGGGGAAAAAAAAGCAGCAGGGAAAGAAAAAGCCTCACGTGGGATCTTCTTGAACACCGTGTTGCACATGAAGCGCTGGAACCTCTCGGCGTAAAAGCTGGGCCTGTGCACGGACACCGTGTCCTGAAAAAGGGGCAAAAAAAAAAAAAAAAAAACCACCACAAATATCAGAATAACAGCCAAACAGATCAGATTTAAACCAAAATAAATTGTTTGCGAAGGGGAGTTATTTCTGTGCCTGGAAAATGCTGGAGGGAGGGAGGGAGGAGAGGGGTGGTTGGGAAAGGCTCTGGGTGGCGGCTGGACAGGGTTAAAAAAGGGGGGGGTTTGGCTGGAAAAAATGGGTGGTTTTGTTTAAAAAGGGCCACTTGCCCTCAAAAAATGTGCCGTTTCACTCTTAAAAAGGGGCCGTTTTCCCCTTAAAAAAAGGTGCCATTTCAAAACTCACCCCGTCGTGCACGAGGGCCTTCCAGGAGTGCTCCAGCTTCTTGACGAACCTGGCAAGGGGATGAAGGGCAGTTTGCACCTCATTTAATTCGATATTTAATTAAAAACTACTTTTTTCACTTCGGTTATTTCCCTCCTTGCTTCCTTAATCTAGAAATTGTAATAAATAAACCAATTTCAAGAAGGTTTTACCCGTGGTTTCAGGCCATTTTTTGAGTGGAAAGCCCCCCCTGCTGACCCCGAGGAGCCACTCGACGCGGGATCAGTTAATTAACGGACTGCTTAATTAACTACCTGTAGGACTGTAACACGTCGATGATGCCGATGTAGAGCAGCAGCCTCTCCCCCCGGGCGTTCCGGGCTGGAATTCCTCCCATCCTAGAGGAGCAAACACAGGATAATTCATGGAATGGGGGGTCGGAAAGGACCTGGGAGATCCGCCGGTTCCAACCCCCCCCTTTTCCGACACTTCCCACCCTCCCAGGTCACTCCAACCCGGCCTGGGACGCTTCCAGGGATGGGGCAGCCATGGAATAACCCGTGCCAGGTTCTCCCAGGGAAGAACTCATCCCTCATTTTCCCCCTCTGGAACTGAACCCACCCCGCGCACGGACCAGGCCGCTCCTGAAGAGCCTCCCCCCCACCCAAAATCCTCCCCACCCCCAAAAAAAAAACCTGCAATCCTTACTGATCATCTGTCTCGATGGTGCCCCCTCTCCTGGCCTCCCCCTGGATGGACTCCATGGCAGTGGAGTACAGGGCCTTCTGCGCCGCCGGGCGCCGCGTGTCGGCCGCGTCGGCCGGGCCCTGCTCCCGCTGCGCCACGTCCATGTTGTGGATGGCCACCAGCAGGCTGTAATCCATGATCTTGAAGCTCTGCAGCACCTTTTTTGTGGAGAAAAAGGCAAAAAAAATAATAATAAAAAGGCTGGTGGGGTTGGGTTGCTCAGATTCCCCCGCCGAACCAGAGTCCGAGCCCTGCTCTTCACCCAAACCCCCTCGGGTTCTTCCCCACTCTGAGGCAAAGCCTTTCCAGGAGGAAAAATAAAATAAAATAAAATAAAAAAAAAAGGCCCAAAATCCAAGGGAAGATCTCCCTCCTCCCCCTTTTCCTCCCCCCGCTCACCAGGCAGTCCCTCTGCAGCGTCTTGCACAGGGCGTTGTACATGTCGGAGTCCAGGAAGAGCCCGTCGGGGACGTCCTGCATGAAATCCAGGTCCTTGTAGGTGGGGAACACCTTGTCCCTCTCCTTCTGGGACGCCCTGCGCTTGTAGGTGGAGCCCTTGAGGTCGTACTTGAGGTGCATCTTGACGGAGCGGGGCAGCAGGTTGTTCATCACCACGATGCGGATGTTCTTGCCCCCGGCCTGCACGCAGTAGAGCCCGTAAAATTTGGGCAGGAGAGTCCTGGGGTTCTGGTTCAGGTTCTGGAAGCGCCAAAAGCACGAGGGAAAAACCATCAGAACCATCCTGGATTCAGGGTTTTTTTTTTCTCCGTGGGAGAGGCCTGAGGAGCTCCTTCCCGAGGGGGGGCCAGCATTCCCAGATTTATTTTTTTTTTTTTATTTTTTTTCCCACCCACCATGTAGTAGCCAGGCAGCAGCTTCTGCAGGAACTCGGCCTCCTTGTGCTGCACCGTTTTGATGATGAACTCGTCGTCGCCCGACACGTAGAAGAGCGAGCCGCTGGCCCCCGAGTTGGACAGCTCGATCAGGGGCTCGTTGCACAGCGAGTACTGAGGGGCGGGGGGGAAAAAAAGTGGGAAAAGGGATCAGGGAACAGGGAATTCCACGCTCAGGAGGTTCTAGGGTCACCTAGGGGAAGGGGGAAAGGGGAAGGGGGAAAGGGGAAGGGG